GATGACGGGCGCACACGACGTCTTGCGTAATCCTTGTTTCCACGTAATTTCAGACGTGATATCAATGTCCAGGTTCCGATTACTATTTCTGGATGGGACAATCGTTAATCTTTTAACCAGGGATACGAGTTAACTGGCCATTCGAAAGTGTTCATTTGCACGAGGCTAAAGTGCTGTTTGTGATCCCAGACAACTAGGAAGTGCTTGTGTCGGGTTAACAGATTACATAATATTGCATTTCGCAATTCCCCTCCCTCGTTTGACAAGTGTACCCCACTACGACTGATATACTAACACTAAAACTATCAGATATCAGATTTCTTGACTCACAATCACTGAAATTATAAAGGTACTTCAATCAGAATCTATGTTCACCTTTAATGTATTAGTTATATCATACCAAGGTATACTAAACTGTATTACACATAATATTACATAGTTAACACATTCAACACTGGTATAGTTCTAGTGCTAAACAATGGTGGCTGACCCTAGTTTGAACCACGTTTTCGAAAGTTTCACTTACGGATCGCTCTACTGCACTAGGTTCGATATGAAGACAGATTAGTTTCGAAGTAGAGCTACAATTACCAAAATGAGTTTAGGGACTCAAATGGGCCCTATCGCCGCCATGTCCACGAGTCCATTTTCCGAGGATGAAACTCCCCACGTAATATTCTTTAAACGGCGTACAAGAGATAACGCTTTCAATTGGTCCGTACAAAGAAGTACCTGGAAATGTTATCATCTGACGACAGCGATAAGTAGCGAAGAATGTTGCTTGATGAGGCGTCAATTAGTGCGGTCAATTTTCCCAGAATTTTCGACGGAACAGGCGAGAGCGTAGACTGGTGGGAAACGATCGATATCGTTCGGAAGAAACAGGTGTTTTATGTCGAGATAGCGTTCTACCTGGTCGATTGATATGCGACCAGAGAGAGAAAGAGAGTATATACGCGTACGGAACAATGATAGTCGATCAGCTGTGCCCCGACGGAGGGGGACAAAGGACACCGACACTCAAAGCGATTTCTGGCTTTGTGTGCTCCCTCTCTCTCGGTTCGTTGCGAGGAAATATTGTGACGCAAACACGATAACGGGCTCAGGCAAGGTCGGAAAGCTTTTCCGATTCATCTAACTCACGACAATCGGCACGTTACGCTGAAACTTTTATGCCAGCGAACATTTAACGTGCACCCCCACTGCTCCCCCTCCTTTACTGCTCACCCGTCCGAGTATATACGTGTTCATAATTGCGCTGATGGTTTTTTAACACCGGGACGAAAAAAGAACCGTGACGCGTTGGATATCCGGCTTTATGTGTCCTCTGTACATGCTATAATTCAACGATTTAATACGGTAATTGGAATATTCAGCTCGAAATTATCGAGATATTTATATTGGGGATAGTTTCCTTCGGAATTTTGGGTGGTTGTGTTTTTGGAGCAGTAATCGATGGAATATAGGAGTATGTACTTAGAACCTGAGATCAATTAGAGCTTAAAAGAACGAAAAAAAAATACGTCGTAATTTTAAACGTGGATATTTCAATTTTTAGAATAAAATGCTACTTCTTCCGAATAATCCTGAACAATTTATTTAATCCCGTTTTATAGCTCAGGACGACGCCTTTAGATACTGCTGCATGTCGCCGTGTTTTATTCGAATAAAATTCTACCCAACTCTGTTCCGAACCCACGTTTAAAACGTGGATAAGATAGCAGAGGTTTCGAGAGCAAGAGACACTTGACACGCAAAACTGTGAGACCTACATTTCGGTAATCAGGATTACGAGAGCGAAAATTTCAGCCCAAGTAATGTTGTAAGTTAAAGAAATATGGGATTATATTGATTATTGAAATATCGTTACATGATTCTCGGCGAAACGCAGCGTTGGAAGCCATTTCAAATAATTAACATAACTCAATGCGAATCATCCGACGTTGCTCTATCGATCAGTGTCGGGGGAAATTGCATTAAACGTTTCGCGACGCGAATTGATTGACTCTCCCGGGGTTCGCTTGTTCCCCGCGTAGGACAGATGTCGGTCGAAGCAATTTTCCTTCTGATACAAACGGCGCATTAAACGCCAGTTAATCGGAGGAACTCTAAAAGAAACATTATCGACTATGTAAACATCACATCGATGGAGGGTGAGAGAGAGAGGAATCACAATGACGAAAAATCACGTGTGGGTAAGTTGAGTCATGTAATTAAAACTCGTTCTCGTTTCGAATGAGAACGGAACAAAGTCGGTCGCGTCGTTCCGGAGCACTCTAGTTTCCTCCTAAAATTATTTAACGTATCCATAGAAATCTAATTTCATCAAATTATTTCCTTTCGCAGACATATCGCCCGAGTTCCAACTGTTCTAACTCCATTTTCTCAAAAAAGTTTAATCAACCTATACTGTATTTACCATAATATAAAGAAATTTCAGGTTAGGAAATACAACAAATATTCTTTTAAGTTCTAACTCCTATCTCTAAATATTAACAACAGATATATTAATAGCAGAAAGATGTAAGTGATCGAAAATCACTGAAGTCGTGTCCCCTAATTTTCCAAAGGAAATTTCGGTATCTGGAAAATGGTAGCGTTGCGGATTCACCGAGCTTGGATGTAAAAGTTGTTACTTTCGCAATGCCAAGGTTATCAGCAGGTGAGGTCCCACACGAGCGTCGCGGCCGCATTCATTAAATTACAATTATAAAGTCGAAGATCTGTTTATAGCCCCGTGATTCATCACTTTGCCCCGATAGCGTCCTCGCAGCAGGAAGTAATGACTAATAGTCCCCATCGAGAAGAGGTCTGTGAGGCTGGTATACGCCCATTCGCTGGTCGAGCCGAACACACGATTGTCTAATTCTCAGCGTACAATTACCCGACTGCTTCGTACGCCCGTAGCGTTCCATTTTAACCCCTCCCCGCCACAACACCCCTCTCCGAATAGTATTTTGCGCCCCGCCATTGCAGCCGACCGAACGAAATATCACAATAGAGGCGTTCAGGGCGAACCCCCGAGATAAACGCGCCCAAACTACAAAGGAAGCAGGCTTTCGTCGACAGTTGGGAAGACACACAGAAGTGGCCGAAAGGGGGGATGAGAAAAAACGATAGCTGAAACTATTACAACTTGACAAAGAGTAATAGAGTAATGTTTTAGTTGTACAAGGTGTATCGCAACATGTGTCAAATAAAAGATCATATTAACAAGTGAATTTAAGGAAGGACACTTACGTGGATTTAACCTTGCTGTAGCCATTTTGTATTCCTGTAATTCTTGATAAAGCCTTATTCGTCGAAAAAAAATTTCCGATTTTTCTTTTTTCTTTTACGAATAAACATCCTCAGTTTGTCCTCTGTATATGAATTTTAATCCTCCTTTCAACTATTACTCTGTACAAGGCGAGGCTGTTCCGAGGGAACACGAGGTTGGGTGGAAAGCCTCATTGCCAGGTCTGTCACGATTCGATCGCACATGAACATAAATATATGAGCACCGAAGGCTGTTTACTGCCGCGTCGTATCGTACTGATAAAAACCACCGACAGAGAAAGTCATACAAAACGGTACATAACCGTGAGCGGATAATAACATTTATATACATCGAGCATATGTGTGTGTGTGTACCTTAGAGGACAGTAACGATACCTACGGTCAGCTGAGAATCCCGATTTTATCAACGATCGACGAAAGCCGATGAACGTTTAATATTATACAAACTAAAAATTCTAGACACTTGTTGAATGACAGGAAAAGGGCCAGTCAAACGTGTTAACGGAATTCAAATGTGTCCGCTACCGTAAACTAACCTATACTCGAAGTCTACTTTCGGAGTACCGTTTTATTCGGTTTGGCGCCATCTATTAAAAACGTGCGTCATAACTAGATTTCTCTTGAACGACGCTGGTCATTTAAGTATTAAATTCAAATAATATAATCCGCTGTGTTTTAAACAATCGACGCGATACCGGCTTTTGTTTCCTGGACAATGAATGTCAAAAGAGTCGAGAAACTCGTTTCCTATTCATTATCCGAGATCTTTTATTCCTGTCTGTACACAGGCGCGAGGTTAGAGGAATTTTTCAGGTGGCCCGGGTCCGGAAAGACACAAAGCTCGATGTGTTTTCTACGCTCGAATTCCATTGGCTCATATTCACGGTCAAATCGTTTCAGTATAAAAGGCAGATTGTCGAACCGTGACTGAGCCCGCATCGGACTCGGAAGGTCGGCACAACGCAAAAAGGTGTATTAACCTTGACGTCTTACCTTCGCCACGCAAGCGACTTGACCAAGAAATTTCAAACTAATAACGAGCCACGGTGGCTCGTATCGCGACAAAAGGAACGACGAACGGCTCACGACAGCTATGCAAATACCAGAGGAGGAGGAAGAGACCGCGTATAAATCTGTTAAATCAGTGTCTATAGTTATGGCCAGGGATGGGTCGTTGACCAGTGCGCACTCTATGGTAGATACCGGCATCTGCGGCAGAATACTTCAAAACAAAGAGCTCACCGGTATCTCCGCGTAGAAAATCGTACAGTTTTCGATGTCCACAATTAAACACTGTTATTATCTAGACTTTCAGGAGCAAACTGTATATTCTTTTGAAAAGTTAACCTAACCTTTTGTCAGTATTGTAGTCAACATCACTAGAGGTCGAATGACACTGCTGAAGCTGTACTGCTGGCAAAACACACTGATGTATACACAATTCTCCACAGATTATATCCGAAAGCCTCGACAGGAACAAGTGTCCGACGTATGGCATTGAAAGCCACACGAATCTCTAATTATACATGAATACAAATGTCACGATTACAAAGTAGATTAAGGGATACCCGGGACAATGGTCCGCGTATCGGGTCGATAAGACCGTTTAAATTAAACAGCGGAGAACCGAGAAGAAAAACAAATGCCGTTCGATCAAAGACCCACCCTGGCAACGTAGCGATGTCAAGGCTCGAGGTGGTCGCGAGCGGAAAGGTACGTACCGCGCCAGCGCCATCCTGACATGAGATAATCCAGGTCCCGTAGGTGTCGAGAGCAAGGTATCCAGATCTGGAAAGAATGCTTTGTCGCCGGCACTAAATCCCACTGGACACATGCGCGTAAATTCCTGGTCCTCGAACACACGATCTCGTCATAACTACCGACCTGGCTACGACGAGCCTCTCCCAAAATATATTTCTTTCCCCCGTGTCACTATAATTTTCTCCTCCGTCGCGACGTGAACTCGTGGCGTCCTCGCGCCTACAAACGTAAACCAACCAAGGGACAGTACCCTTGTTCCCCCCAGTCTATCTCGGAAGGTAACCACACTGTTGTCACTACCGCATTTTCACTGTCGTGTCGTGTCTGTGGGCGACCTCGCGAAACCGAACAGACCTTCGCCCGACAGTCAATTACACGTACGACGGGGGAACGATTCAAATGGAATAACCGAAAATTCAACGGACAACGGTGTGCTCTCTCGACGGAAGGGTCGGAGAGAGATAGAACGAGAGATAGACGACAGCGATGGAGAGAGATAGGACGAGAGAGGCGTGTAACGGCGCGCTCGCGATAACGGCCGGGGAAGAACGGACGGCTCACGATACGGAATATGTTGCTCTCGAAAACGCTTCTTGTTCAGCCAGCCGACCAAAGTGTGATTCCGTGTCCGCGCGTGATTAAGGAACGACTAGAACCGAAGAAGCTGTTACGCCTGGCCCTGGCTCGAGACACAGATCGCCAGTCACTATTCCAACTCCGATCACGGCGCTGGCTCGACTGAGCCGAGCAACTGAACGTTCGCGAGTCCCCACCCCCGTGGCCGCGGGCTCGTGCGAACTCGTCGACACTCGGCCGTTTCCGTGACAAACTCGGAACGCCTCGTGCCTCGCCGCGACCTCGTGTCGTGCGCTAGAACGCGATGGTTCACCGCCGGGTACCCAAGGCTCCCTCCTCCTACAGGAAACTACTGCTCGGGAATGCACGTTTTCTGGCATGCTGCTTCGAAAATTATACAAACTATGCTTACCAGCCTCGTTTCGAACTCGAAATTAACTGGCGTATATACACAACGTAGTGCTCGGTTGTCCGAACATGTCGGAGGACTGGACGATTCGGGCGAGTGCACTAAATTCTGCCTTTGGGCAATATGACATTTACATGATGACTGTGTATCCTAACATCATTCAATTGACAAGATACTAACCATTGAAATAACATATTTTCTTTTTCATCGCGAAAGTTAATCGGTACGGCGATTCGATTGAACGCATTTGAAAGTTTCGTAAGTATATGTATAAAACCACCCTTTTGCAGCGAACGCGGTCGCGTCGACGCAACACCTGTAGTAACGTAACACGTCCGAAAAAGATTATTTGACGCGAACGCCGACACTTCTGTCCTCAAAATCCACGGATCTTAATATAGCAACGTGTACAAATATTCGACGAATCTTCCCATATTTACGTACTCTTTAGGTCCACACACACTGATCGCCACTGAGAACTTCAAGACGATAGAATCGAATTATTCATGTCGCGGCGACCGCGTACTGGAGGCATTTCGAATCAGTATACGAAACGCGGGGAACGTTTACCGATTCAGTGGTATAACGCACAATCGTTGGAACGTGTGAAAGGTTCTCTCTCTCTATCTCTCTCTCTGACTCACTCTCTTTTCGCCGGTTGGATATCGGTGCTTTCATGTCACCGGAAACGGAGAACAAGCCTCTGTGTTCGTCGAATTACACGAAAAAGAGGTCACGAAAATGTTTTATGGGTGTTTAAGGTGGCCTGGGGTCGGCGTCAATGGGACCGTGACGTCGTGCCGGAATCACGCACGACGATCGTGACATTGTGAAGAAGAATACCCGCTCCACGAAGCTAATACTACTATAACTGGACTACAATGGATAATGAAAACAAAAAAAAAAAGAACACAGAATGTGAATTTCGTACAACTAACTGATCCTCGAAACGAACCTAATTATTTAAATAACCACGCATCACCCGTTTACAGGACCTGTACATGGCATTTAATAACGATGATTAAATTACCATATCGTTCAGATTATTTCTCCCCACATTTCGAGCAGGTCGAATTCTCGCAGAAAAGTGATTCGCATTAATAACAGGAAGGAGCGCGTTTATTACGGGCCACCCCAGGCCGGGCTCCGGTCAGAATATTCCATTAACCGCATTCGTGACTCCGACAAAGCCAGCAGTTTATGCAATCATATGCATGGATGCAAGTTTAAGGTTGCACGGATCACATGCTGATACGCGGGGCCACGGTGTAATGTGTCCATAAATTAGCCTCGTGCCCGGAATGACTTTCTCGGGGATCCTTGTCGATATCGGGGAAATTATCGAGAAAATCCGTTGCGGCGGCCATTTTGAAATGGCGCTACTCACTGCCGGAAGATCAGGTCGAGTCTGTCCAAAGAAAATAACGGAATGTTATATACTTACATTATCGTTAATTGCGGTAGAACCTTGCCTTTTTTATAGAATGCTCGATCTAACACCAAATTATTCGAACAACTCCATCGAAATACATTAGAAACACGTTCTACAATTATGTACAAAGAAAATTAACATAATGGGGTCGCCTAAACGATGCTCAAGGACTTTCAGTTCCTTTTAGGTAGTTTTTTTTACTTCGTTCTACACGGGAGAAAAGAAGAGACTGTCTCGTAAGAACCGAATCGAATCGGAGCTCTACGGTGTTAAAAATTACGGGAATTAGAAAAGGAAACATCTGGAGGGGAAACACGAGAAGTTCCCCTCACTTCACCCTTGACAGTTAGAAATGGAACGTGTCAGGGGCTTTTCGTACGAAAATTTTGAAATTCTCGATTTCGAGCCAGAAAGGTCACCGTTAATAAGGACGGCCCCGGGGCGCAGGGTCCCCTTGACCCCCTTTAAAAAACGTCCCTGAGTCTCGTCCGCCCCGGAGCACGCGATGAGATGAGTGCCATGTAAACTCTATTATGCTTTTCATTCTTTCTCTTTTCTTTTTTCCTTCGCACGTCGACGACGCTTCCTCGGGTGTCTGGGTATCACGTGTCGTACCACACGACCGTGTTGCCCACCGGGGAACAATCGAACAATGATTGTTAGTTTACGGATCTCCTTCCTATTATCAGGAATCGATCCCCCGTTGGATTTTCCAAACTCAAAGCAACGTAACAGTATGTTTTGTTGATCGAAAATAATTTATACACGACGGATAGTATTTTTCTCCATTTTTTAAATCGAAGGGTTTTGAACTGGGACTTTCCAGGTAACAACCCTTCCCCCTGAACTCGGTAAAACGGTCCAATAACAATAGCCGATATCACAACAGCAAACAAAAGAAAATTGGCCCGGTTGGTTTGAATGTTTAAGCTGAGCTAGGGCCAGTTTCTTTAAACTATACATTGTCCACGTTCAAATCGTCCGACAACGTCTTTCGTCCCCTCGGATGACCAGTCCTCTCTTTTCACTAATTCCCCCAAAGCTTCCAACTCTCCAGGGCTGTTTAATTTCAAGGACATAAATACAAACGACGTTGGAGGAAATCGTAAGTGGTGGCAGCTGTGATCCCGGTGTCACCATAGAGAAGAGGCCACTCGGGCCCTCTCCATAAGTGGCGTGTGCGTGTTGGTTCGTTCAGCAGAACCAGTCGCCTGAGCCTTTTTGTCCATCCGAAAACTAAACGCTCGCGAAGCAACACGTTGTCTCTTTGTGGCTCTGGTTCTTCTCGATGGGAACAAGGAAAAAAATCGGAAGACGATGAAACTATTTCGTTTGAGCGAAAAGGTACTTGATACAGGATTATTTAACCCTTTTAGTACCTTAGAGCCGACATATCGGCTTTGTGGGTTTTCCGAAAAAATATCATACCATTTTTAATATAATTCAAACACATAATGACACTTTATATTTCATAAAATAAGTTTATATATAGTGGACCATACGTTTACTGGTTAGGAATAATAAAATTAAAAAAAAAAATAACGTGAATATCTGTATTGTTAAGAGAAATATGTTAATTTTAATAGATACCTGAAAGAGTACATATTTTTCAGAGTATTCTTGGACGGCACCCGGAAATTTTATTAAGGTACCATAAGGGTTAACTTTCTCACGACGGAGACAGCCGGCACGAGTCTGTCTGGACTGAATTAATTCGTGGATTACGTCAGAGCAGTCGAGCGCCGAGTGATCGGTGCTCTCCAAATACGTTTATTCGGCTCGGTTTCTATTAGTTCGATTCTATAAATTCTTGCGTAACACGCGCCGCAAGAATGTGCCCAGGCACCGTGTGTATGCGCGAAACTCTCGCGATTATGCGTGAAACGAGCGAGTGCGCCTCGGAAACGATTGGAATCTAGAGTGTCTATCTCTATCTCGACTGGGCCACTCCAGTTCTCTCGAATAGCGAATCGGAACGAATTTGAAATTCTTAACCGTGGTAGGTAGTTCTCTGTCCGAACGTTTCCATCTATCTCCTCCTCTCTTAGCCACGTTTAGGTCAATAAACCATTTGGGTCGTTTCCTGGGGATTGTTGGGGCCCTAATGGGTCCTCAGGTAGCCCCTAAATTGAAAGCTTTTGGGCGTTGTGTATTATGTGGATATATGTATAAGGAGAAGAATGAATGAAAATAAAATGAAAAAATGGAAAAAAAAATTTAGAGATAATACTATAAATTATCAATCGAAGGAACGACAAATGACGAGTTAAAGATGGAACGCTAAGAGCACTTAAGTGTATGCGAGATTTAGGGGAAGACATTTCGGTTTCGTGATGGAACTGACTTTCGCTGGTGCGATCCAGTTGTTCCTCTGCCCCCGACAAAAGGAACAAACTGTCGCGCAGCAGCTCCAGAAGCTGGTTCTTTGTCTTTTTCTCATTCCTCGCGCCTGCTCCCGGCCCGGATCCGCTAATTTGCATCCCCTATCGTTCCCGGCCGATTACACGTTTCCACGCCGATGCGAGGATTTATGAAGCGTGGACTCGGACACATGGAGACACATCGGCGACGCGGCCATTACGAAACACGGTACACGCAGCTTGATCGGGGAATCTGCATGGCATAAATTCCAATTCCTCTCGTATGTTTCTTTCTTATTTCACTGCTGCAAACTTCGCCACTGTCCCCGACGGAACCGTGGCAATTAAGTTAACGCGGTCCGAGTTCGTCCAGTTTGAACGAGTTCGCGCGCCAGGCTCGGGGGAAAACAAAATGGCGGCGGTTCGGCAAGCTTGCGATAAAGTTGGAATCAGATTTCCACGTCGGAAGTTTAACGATTCTGATTTTTTGTACGATGAAGCACCTATCATTGAAGAATAGTCTATTTTGGTATGTAAAATTGAACAAGATTATTGCACAGTACAGTAAAACCTGTTTTTGTGCGGTCCATTTTTATACGATTTTATTTTTATGCGATTTATTTTGTGCGATTTTATTTTTGTGCGATTTTTTTTTATGCGGTATATGAATTTCAACGGCGTTGGCATTACTGTAATGTTTTCTATCAGTGTACATATAAATATTCACTTCATGACGCTCTGTTCATTTGGTTTAAACAGTTTCCCGACAATGTACATTCAAGTATTTTCGCTCGACGCGCTAGCAGCATACGCTTCGTATTCCGAGTTTTATCCACGACTCACGTGATTAAGGATTCATTTTATAGTGAGATTAAAGGTAAATAAATTAATTACTTTTGTTTCTATTTATATATAGTTTTTATGATTTTCATTTTATTTTTAAACATAT